CTGAGCAGCTCCTTTCACTTCAAGGGCCCCAGAGAAAGCTCCTAAATCTCATTTTTCCAGCAGTTCTTCATGGTCCAATTAGAACTTCCCACCTCATTTCTGTGCTGGGAAGCAGCAGCAGAATCATTTGGTTCAAACACCATTTGGGACAGGATTTCTTGTTAATGCCCTGCTGGTTATGGGCTGTGTCCTGCACTGACAAGTGGCAGATAATTCTCTTTAATCCTCTGGAGCCATCACCCCTCACACAGCCGCAGGGAGCAGCCAGGGGTGACTCCAGCAGGATGCAGAATGTCCTGAGCAGGGAGGAAAGGTCCTCGTGAGACCCCAGCTCTGCCTCCAGCCCTGCAATTCCACAGGGAACGGGCAATTCCCTGGGCCCTGCTCTCCAGCATTTCCAGCAGGATCCCTCTGGGGGCTCTGGCCTCAGCACACCCCATTCTGGAGCAGACATTTACCTGCAGCCCTGGTGCCACAGCCCCGTGTCCTGGGGACAGCAGGGACAGAGCCAGAGCTGGAACCCTTCAGGGAGCAGCAAGGAAAACAGCTCAGGGCAGGAGAGCAGGATGTTCTCAAAGCACATGGCTCACACCCCAGGGACACAGAGAAAGCTGGAGAACAACAGAGAGCTGGAAAAGCCCCTGCACCAGGCTGGAAACAAACACAAACAAAGAAAGGGAAGTATTTTACAAGTATTATTTTGGATTATACACTGATCTCCTGCTCCCTCGAGGGACAGGCAGGGCTGTGGGCAGCTCTTCATTCCCAGGGAATATTCCAGGGAAAAATGGACCCTGAGCTCCTTCCCTGTGCCACACTGGGGCTGTGAGGGTAAAACACTTCAGAGTCCCTGAACAGGGAGGGGTTTTCATTCTCACTCTTTCATTGTTTCATCCCAAGTTCATACTGCCCAAACAAAAAAGGGAGCAAAGCAGCTCTTGCTGGGAATGAAAACAGAACAGGATTCACCATCTCTTTGGAAGACAAATAACTGGAAATTCCAGGGACAGTTTTGTTGGTTTGCAGGGGTTGCAGTTTTTCTATTTTAAAATGTATAGGCTCATCCCTGTGCTGGATTTGAGCTATGCCTCAACCTTCTTGCCCAGAGCTTCACAAACTCCAGCCTCATCCACAGCCTCTGGAATTGAATCATTAATCTGAAATCTATTTGAATCCCACTGTTCAGCTGCATCAATTCCGAGCTCAGACAGTAAAGACTGTTTTTCTCCACATCAGCAAAGCTTTTGCCAGACTTTCTAAATAATTCAGATCGAATCTCTGTATGATCCTCTGTGTTTCTCCTCCAGCTGCTCCCCTCCGTGGTTCCAGCTCCCTGGAGCTGCTGTCCGAGCACACACACCTGGGAAAGGAACATGCAGACACAAAGGTGAGAGGAAGCCCAGAGCCCCACTGCAAGCTCTGCTCCCAGGGCCAGCCTGACCAGTTCTGCACAGGAAAACAATTCCTGGGCTCGGGATGAGGCTTGGGAGCCTCCCCTGGTGTCAGGAGGGGCTGGCACAGCCCAGCCTGGGACAGCTCTGAGCACCAAGGGCAGGGCACAACATCCTGCTGCAAAGAAATAAAAACAATCTCCTCTTCTTCCTCTTATTATAGACACATTTTATATTGTTGGCTATTCACAAATATTAAAATGAATATTATGCATATAAGAATGGAAATTTTTGTTGTATTAATATAATTTTCTTTATTTCTGTTACTGATGAAACTTAGAAATAGTGCTATAATACATATATGTTAAGCTATAACATAGCATTAAAACAAAAACTGCTTTTGCCTGTATAACCCAAAGGCTGACAAAGATAGCTGGAGACTTTTTTTCCTTTTGTAAACTATCTTATCCAAATGAAGACAGCAGTGACCAGAACTCTGGGGGAGGAATTTATTGCATTTCTGGTATCAGGGAATGAGAATTTATGGATGTGTAGCAGGGTTCTGTTTCTAAGGGACAATCCTTTGTTAGTGAGGTGTGCTCTCTTGGCTGAATGCAGAGACACCTGGCCAGATCTGTATACTTTATTTTTATCTCCTAATTGGGTTTTTTATTAAACTTTTAAATTCTAAAAAATGATGTGAACCTGGTTTTTCACACTCTGGAAGCCTCTCCAAGCCTCCTGTACCTGGCTGGGCTGGCACTGGAGCGTGTTCGTGCCACAGAGTGATTCCTCTTTCATGTGCACTTCTCTGTCTACTGCAATTATGCAAATAAAATGCAACTTTATCCTTTCAGCATAATTACATCAAACACAATCAGGCTATATTAAGACTGACTTAAGATGAATGAATTCAGTTCATCCAGTGATTTCCTAAATCCCCCCCATGGGACTGTGGCAAAGAAAATTCTGTCCCAAGAGTGACATCAAGTACCAAGACAAATAACTGTGGATCTGGGGCCTGATCCTACAAAAAGCCAAACCCTTCAGGCCCCTCTGGAGTCACAGGCTGCTGGGATATTCCCACTGTCAGAAAAGCAGGAACTTCAGCTGCTACCTGTGTCCAGAGGTGTGAAACCACAGCACACCTGCACTTCACACCTGTATTTTGATCTGAAGTCACAGCTGGGGGTGAAGAACAATCTGAAAAATGCTTTTTTTCCTGTGAAATGAGTGTTTCAGTTTATAACTCATGTGACCAACAGCTCTGCAGACAAAACCCTGCTAATCCAAAGTGTGCCACACACCCTTGAACTCAGGGGCACATCCACTTTGGGTGCAGCTGAAGGTTCCCTGGCTGATTTGCCAAACATTATTCCCTTTACTGTGCCAAGAGGCAGACTCAATATTGAGGTCAAGGCACGTGAGCTGCAGAGCCCTCTCTGCTTCCAGCAGGGTTTCTTAGGAATCTCCCTCCAACATATTCCAAATAGTACTTAAGACAGATAAAAGGAAAGGGAAAAAAAAGAAGAGATGCTTTTGGCGAGTAACACAAGGGCAGCCCCCTCATTCATGACTCTAGCCCAGAGTTCTCACTAAATCCAGTGGGAACTGAGTCCCTGGAGCCCCAGGACCCTGCAGGGCTGGGATCTGCTCAGGGCACTGAGCTCCAGCCTGCTCCTGCAGTTTGTCTCCTTCAGTTTGCAGGGAAAATCAAGGTGCTTTATTTCTTTTTATGCCCTCACCAAAAGCAAGGTGTTGGTGAATTTTAGGAAGCAGATGTTCGCTTCTGGATGATGAAAGAATGACATTAAAACATCGAATCCCTTTCTCTGGGGCTGGTGGCCAAATGAAATGGAAACAACAGAAAGCAGAACAAGCTGCAGCAGCCTGAGCACGAGGCAGGCAGCAGCCCAGAGGGAGAAGGGCCTCCCTGGGCATGGAACCAGCAAAGCCCGAGGATCCCTGACACGTTCAGTGCCTGTTCTCCTGGAGAACGAGCCAGAAAAGGGATCAGCCTGAGAGGGGAACCCGGGAGCTGCAAAGTGCTCCAGCAGCGCTGGGACGAGCTCTGCTCCCCTGGGCAGCCCTGCAGCCGTGCCAGCAGCAGCAGATGGCACAGACAGATGGCAAACAGGGATGGCAGGGCAGGGCAGGAGCAGCCCAGGCTGGGCAGGGCACAGGGAGAGCCCTCTGCTCTCTCCTGCCCCAGGCACAGCTGCCAGTGCTGCCCCAGGCTCCCCTTCCCTTGGGACACAGCACACAGCCCCTGGCTGCTCCTGGAGGACACCTCTACACACATCTGTGTGTTTGATCTAAATGTAATTTGGGCAGCACAGCAATCCCCCAGCCAAGCTGGCCACGGGAGCAGAATGCAGCTCTCCAAGAGTCACTGAACAAGGACAGTTCTGCAGGCTCAATAAACACAATTTGTTTTTGTAAATGCACCAAATACACTGATATTCATAACTCTAATTTAACTGACTTTCTCCACCTGAACTCTCCCACTCTGCCATCCTCACTCACTGCATCCAGAACCCCCTCCTGCTTCCCATGAGGGGTTTAATGTGCAACGTAAAAGGAAAATATTTCAAAACAAACAAACGTGAAAGTTTTTGTTTCTGTGTACTGTTGACAAAATTTTTGTTTCTGTGTCAAAAACCCTCAGGGATGAATACAGACAGTATGAAAAGCTTATTAAAATATCCTGGTTTTCTGAAACAAACCACTTCATTGTCTGTCAACTTTCTGTATTTACGGAGAAATAACATCCAAGAGTGCCTCAGGGGGTTAAAAATGTAAAAGAATGGAGCAGATGATCTACCTGAGAGGAATAACTGATGAGCAGGGAGTGCAGGCACAGGAAAAATGCAAATACTTGGTTTTGCAGGGAGTGAAGACATCAGAACCCATTTCAGTGTGGGCAGCGTGCTGGAGGACAGGGCCAGCAGAGGAGTTGGGTGTCTCTGCTCAGTGAAACAACTGGAAACAACTTTCCCTCCATATTCCAGAGAACACAGACCCTGACCAACCTCCATGGTGCCCAGAGAAAGCCATGAGGATGCTAAAGCACCTTTACCCACAACAGAATAAACAATTCGAGGTGAGATTAGACAGCAAACACTTCAGAGCACAAGGGAAGCTGAGAAACAAAGGATTAAGCAAAACAAGTTTCCCAAAATTCACCATATGCACACATCTGTACAAGTGTGGATATTTCTAAAGCACACAATAGATAAATACAGTGCTTGATCTGAAATAAAAGTGAAACTGAGCTTAAATGGAAACCACTAATGGAAAAATGAAGTTTTAGTTCTTCAGTAGAAAACTTCTCTGCTTCAGAGAGGAACCCACAAGATTCCCCCTCCCCTGTACGTGTGAGAGCTTCAGATCAGCTGGGGTTCTCTTTCCAGGGATAAAGCCCTGTGCCACCCTCCCAAGCCCTGAAATCAGGGCTCTGACAAGCAGCTGGAAACAGCCCCGAGCTCCCACGGGAGGAACAGGGACACTCAGGGAGAGACCAGGAGACCAACCCCAAAGAGCTGACACTGCTTGTGTCCCCAGGTTTACCCCCAAACCCTCGGGAGGAGGGCCAGGACAGGCTCTTACCCTCGATGGTGGCTCTCTTGGGCAGGATGGTGATGGCTCCCTCGGCCACGTCCTCCTGCTGCAGCAGCGGGCTCACCTTGGAGCCCCAGGTGTCCGAGCCCACCCACAGGAAATGTCCCACCTGATCTGCCCTCTTGGCGGCCGCCAGGATCTGCCTGTGGAGAGGAACGGGTTGTTGGATTGTGTTGGGCTCTGATGGAAACGTGGGGCTGCTCTGGGACAGGGCTGTGGCAATGGCAGAACGGCTGGGCTCCAGGAGCCCTGGGGTCTCCTCCTGGGGCTGTGCTGAACAGAACAGCACACTGCTGAGCCCAGCAGAGCTCAGGGGCTTGGGACACTCTGCACTGCAGGGCTCTCAGCAGCCTGGCCCAGGGAAACATGGAACTGGATGGTCTTCAAAAGTCCTTCCCAACCCAAACCATCCCATCATCCATGCAGCACCAGACTTCTCTTTAAATTCACCCCATGACTGAGCTATTGATTCCACTAAAACTCAGAGTTTTTCCATTGGCTTTACCAAAACTTTTCCCTAAATTCTATTTGTCTTGTTTTGTGGGACCAGGCCTTAGCAATTGATGATTCCATCACAATTTTAAGCTAATTTCAAATTCTGGACCCAGAATACACAAGTGTGTAATGAAATACAAAATATTCTTTGTGTTATTTTATGAGCCCATTCCATGTGGTTTAACCTTGAGCATCTGAGTCACTTTATCACCATTAACTTTCATTTGCCATAAAATAGACTGAATTAATGAATTACACAAAGTAGAATGAGCCTGGAGGAGGGGGCGTGTCCTGAATTCCTCTGAGAGGAGAGGTCACTCTGCCACCCAACACCATGGCAGGAAAAGCTCCCAGATCCCATTCCTGTCCCTCCAGCACAGCCTGGGCACCCCATGAGCCAGGGCAGCAGCAGCCTTGTGCTTCCCCCTGGTGCTTCCCCACATTCCCAACATTCCCAACTCCACATTCCCAGCTCCAGCTCCCCACGTTCCCAACATTCCCAACTTCCCATGTTCCCAGCTCCCAACATTCCCAGCCCCACGTTCCCAACATTCACAACTCGACATTCCCAACTCGACATTCCCAGCTCCCCAGGTTCCCAGCTCCCCAGGTTCCCAACGTTCCCAGCTCCCCACATTCCCAGCTCCCCACGTTCCCAACATTCCCAGCCCCACGTTCCCAGCTCCCCACATTCCCAGCTCCCCACGTTCCCAACATTCCCAGCCCCACATTCCCAGCTCCCCACGTTCCCAACTCCCCACATTCCCAGCTCCCCACGTTCCCAGCTCCCCACGTTCCCAACTCCCCACGTTCCCAGCTCCCCACGTTCCCAGCTCCCCACGTTCCCAGCTCCTCACGTTCCCAGCTCCAGCTCCCCAGGTGGCTCCCAGCACAGAGCTTTCCCTGCCTGGCTCTCCTGGCTCTCCCAGAGCCCAGAGGGACGGCTGTCCCAGCCAGCCTTACCTGATGTCCTCGTCGTTGGCGAAGATGACGATGGCCCTGGCGTTGGGCGTCTCCAGCAGCTGCCGGATGATTTTATCGAAGTCGATGCTCTTGTCCTTGCGGTCCTGGGGGATCTTCAGGGACTGGGCAATGCAGAGCCCACCTGTGCCAGAGAACAGAGGACAAAGGGATCTTCAGAGGAGGACAGGGAAATGTCAGCAAAGAGGACAGCAAAGAGCATCGGCACAGTCTCAGGTATCTACAGCCAGACCAAAACTGCCCCCTTTAACCACAGTTCCCCTATTACACTTGTCTAGTTTGTTTTAGAAAAAATAAAATTTTAAAAAATCCCATCCCCACTGATGGGATTCTGCTTGTTGCTGGCAGATGAAAACACAACTTTTGCCTTAATTATTTTGTTTCTCAGTAGTAAACACTTTCATCTTCCACGGCATCTTTGATACCAACCTGCTCACCATAGCGCACAGTGCGTTAATTAATAACGGATCAGAGCTCTTAATAAAAACCAGCAGTGGGGATGAGTTAATTAAAAGGCAGCAGGACAAGGGAGAGATTCACAGACAGGCTTTAAAACTCAGATTTAAAAGTCCTGGTAATTGAAGCACTGGAGAAGGTGTTGGAGGGTGAAGAACCTGGAGGAGGAAGCTCGAGCCCCAGAGCCTCCTCCTCATCCCAGGGCAAAGCAAACCCGGAGAGAAGCGTGGGACAGCTGGGAAAAGCAAACTCCTGCTTGGAAATGGTGAAATGCAGATCTTGTGCACATCCCTGAGCCCCTCACAAAGCAGGTCAGCCTCGTTCTGCCTGATTTTTGACAGAGAGAAGCTGAGCTGCAGCTGCCTGACAGCAAAGGAGCTCTGCTGGACTCTGCCTGTTCCAAACACTCGGGAGGGAAAACAATTGTTTCAGTGGGAAGGAAGAAAACAGTGAAAAGGAAAGGCTGGGAAAGAATAAAGGAGAATAATAGCCCCCAAGTTTTTCTCTGACTCACATAAAACATTTTGTTTTGCAATAATCACAACCTGGACTTCCTGCAACCTTTTTCTTCTCTTTAAAAGCAAACAATACCGAGTTTTAAAAATAGACTTCATTTTAAATGAAGATCAAAAGTCTCACTGTCAGTGAGTTCAGAAGTCTGAACAGTTTTAAACGCTCTTTTTATTTTCCCCAGTCAAAATGACATGGAATGAACCCAAACCCACGAGCAGAGTTCTCAGCTTTCCCACAATGTCCCGCTTGGCAGGGACCAGAGCTGGTTAAAAGCCCAGCCCCCAGCCAGCCCTGAGCATCCCCACACCGTCCCTGCCCGTGGCAGGGTGGCACTGGATGGGCTGTAAGGTCCTCCCAAGCCAACCACTCCATCAGCATCACACCAGTTGTGATAAACCCCCGTGTGCAGGGAGCCAGCACGGTGACATCTCTCTAAAGATTCCATCCACACTAAAGAACCTGTGAGCCCAGGGGGCAAAAAGAACAGCCCCCTCTGCCAGGCAACACGCTGGTGTTGAGAAACTATAATTAAAAAAGTAATTAAGTTATTTAATATTGAATAAATGTGACCAAGATGATGGAAAAGGGGCTGGAATGGTGGGCAGGCTGCTGGCTCTGCAGCCACCCTGGAGCAGTCACATCCACTGTGTGGGGCCTGGGTGGGGAAGCCAAAGCTCCCGTTGTTGTGGATAATGTCCCAGCTGAAGCCAGCATCCCTGGAGAGCCTCAGCTGTGGCCAGGCTGCCACAGGCACAGCCTCCAGCACAGCACGTGCTGCCAAAGCTGGAGCTTCCAGGGGCTGCTGGAGGGAAAGAGGAGCCAGGCTGGGGAGAGGAAACAGTCTGCAGTGTGAGAGGGCAGGTCTCAGCTCCTGGCTGTGAGTTCCCCACCGCCTTTGGGAGGTCAGCTCCTGCTTTCCCAGAGGGGAAGGTGAAAACCAGAGCTCTGGTTTAAGCTGCCCACCTGGGAAAGGGTGGGCTCAGCCCCTCGGGATGAGCTGCTCTCATTCCAGGCAGTGGGAGAGCTTTCCCAAAAGGAGCAGTGCCATGGTACCCTGCTCGCCTCGGCACCACCTCTGCTCAGAGGAATGCTGGATAAAAGGCAAGGAGGAATTATGGAAAAATGGCAGAGTGCCTGGGGAATTGGATGTCTGCTGTCCAAAAGGCACAGTGGAGTAAATTCAGCTTTCATAGCCTCATCCCACCTTCCACCACAACAGGAAGCATGTGCACAGTTATTGAAACTGTCAGGTTCATTCACAGCACTTCCGAGGGAAAAACCTCCGAGGGAATTAGGTGGTAAAAACATGAAAGTTGCAAATTTGGGATCCTGTCACAGGCTTCCTGCAGTCATTCATTACCCCTGGTGGCCTGGAGAAGTGACAAATGCTCCAAGCAGCACAAAGTGCTGTGCCAAAGGATGAGAACCTGGGAGCCAGAGACACCCTGGGACTGAGCTGGGGCTGCCCTGGAATGCCCAGAGCAGCTGGGGCTGCCCCTGGATCCCTGGCAGTGCCCCAGGCCAGGCAGGCCATTGGGGCTGGAGCAGCTGGGACAGTGGGAGGTGCCCCTGGGACAGTGGGAGGTGTCCCTGGGACAGTGGGAAGTGTCCCACCATGGCAGGAATATGGGACAAGAAGATCCTTGAGGTGCCTCCCAACCCAAACCGCGACAGGATTTTAAGGTCCCGTGAATTTGTGGGTCCCACACCGTGAGTGAACACGCTCAGCTTGCAGGGATAAAGGGTCCATACACAGAG